GTGCAAAACTCTAAAAAGGCACCAACACAATTTTGCTTCCAATTCAAAGGCCTGGGGAAACGACCGAGCCTTCACCTGGCACAGCAAAGGTCTCAGGGGAGGCCCCTGGTGCTCCTCAGCGGGGCTGCTTCCGCCGGAAAGGCCCGCCCCGTGATCGTTACCTGGCAGCGCAGGTCCTGGAGCACCGAAAGCAGCTGGGCCATTCCCTGCTCACAGTCCCCGTGCTCCGGTTTGGCCCAGCTCCTTGCAATTCCTGCCTTTCCCTGTGGGAGAGCAGGTGAGAAGGAAGTGGAGGCTGCGTTTGTTTGCATGCTGGCTCGCTCCACGTCTTTATGGCTGTCCTGTCTGTCTGGCATGTGATCTGTTCCTTAACAGGGCTTAGAAGTCAGAAGGCATCCCTGGAATCACTTAATCCTTGTTGTCACTGGGAGAGGAAAAACAGTCTCACTGCTGAATGCAAGCTGCTGCCTCGCGTGAGAATTAATGTACAGCTCATCTGGAAAATGCATTGCATGATTCAAGGAAATTGCAGAGTTCGTGAACACTCGTAAAGTGAATTCCAGAGCACTGCCTTGCCTGTGCTTTTCAGGCACACGTTCACGCTCGCGGCACACACATGCCCTCTTTCTCTCGGTGCTGCTCTGAAAGGGTTGAGCCCTCAAAGCATGGGATCTGATGGAGCCATTGCTGGCAAAATGGCAATAAGTTCTCACAACCATTGTGTTTTGTCACGCCAGGCCTTTCCAAACCCACAAGCTTCTTTGGAAAGGGAGAAATTTTCATTGTTGATTCCCAAGTTAGTTTTTCTTGGCGGCACACGAGGTGGCGTTTGCCATCCAGCTGGAATTCAGTGATGCTGTGGAAAAGAGCTTATGTAACAGGATGTCTCAGGGAGGCTTTTACATTTTAAAATATATATTTATGGAGAGGGAGAGAGAGAGAGAGAGAGAGCGCGCGAGCAAGCAAATGCACACTCAAATTATTGTGTGTGCATCTGTGTGTAAAAATCTGTGTATTATTACTTTCTGTCTACCACAGCTTGTTGAAATGGAAACATGCATCATCATCATCATCATCATCATCATCATCATCATGTATTATAATTGTCATTGTAATCAGGATAGTCTTGGTTTATTAATTTCTAGGCTGGCAGGCCATTAAAAATAAGAGTGTATAAGTAGCAGAAGCACATTCTGAGAATCAGAAAATTAGAGTAGACTGCTAATCTAAATATTGGCTTTCAGTTTCAAGCTTTAGTTTGCTCCCTGTGGAAAAAGCTGGTCAGTAGTTTGGGGTTTTTTCCCAATGAAGGAAAGTGCATGCTAAAGTCTAGTGATAAGGTCGCCAGATGCATGTTTTGCTTTTACAAGGTGTTTACTTTGATGGAGAACATTGTAAGCTGCGACCAGATGAGCTAGTGGGAAATGCATGGTAGGATCACCCACAGTGTCAAGAAATGTTCCAGGAGTGCAGCTGACGTGCCGCTGCAAGGAGAATTAACCCCTCTCTCCCAAGTGGGTTTCCTAGTTAAAATCACCCTCTGCCATTTTTTATCCTATGAATTCTCCAGCACTACAGTCCTGATTCAATTTGGGAGTTGTTGATGATGTTGGATGTCCCGAAAATGTTCTGAGGTTTTTCCTGTTGCTGCTTGCAGGACACATATTGATAATATGAGGATAAAATAGTGTTGTCCACACTGTGGTTTGAATAAGCGCTTAGTTGGGCTGGCTTGTTATGTACTCTGTGTTCCTCAGCAGAATGTGAATTGAAAATCAATACTTGCAGAAAGAAACCCCTTTGAAAAACAGCTAATCCTGGCCTGCCGTATTTATCTTTAGATTTTATTTCACTTTTCATAAAAAATATCTGTTTTCAGTGCAGTGCTTTCTAATTATATTGCCCCCTGATTGATCAAAACAAACTCTGTCCACAGCTCAGAGGAGAATTACAAAGATCCCGTGAAATTCTTTTGCTTGCCTTAGGAAGGTTGTCACAAAATATTCTATATTGATGATCCAGATCCCCTTTCCCTGCTGCGGAAAACCCTGCCTTGTCCGTTGGTCTTTCCCAATTTTAGATGGTGCTAGTTCCAGGGAAAGGAGAAACCTCTCGCCCTTTTTTCCTGCAGAGTTTTCTACTGTGCTTCCCCATGTTCTTGAATGCCATGGGACAACCGTACGAGTGTGTATGCAGGATTCCAAACTCTCCCCCCTTCCTGCATCTTCAACAGGCATGCCCCTCAGCACATACATGTCAGCAGCTTCTGTGAGGGGGAAAAAAAAAGCACAGTATTGATGGTTGCGCAATAACACACATTCCGGTTCCCTGTTCTGCCTTCATGAGTGAGCTCATCAGTAGTTTGAGAGAGAGAGAGAGAGAGAGAGAGAGAGAGAGAGAGAGAGAGAGAGACAGACAGACAGACAGACAGACAGACACCAAAGCCGGATCTCCATGCTGCAGACCATCCTGGGAAGTGCCGAGCACAGACTCCAAAAATACCGCTTTGCTAGTGTGCATGGTGTTTTAGGCGTTGCTCATCGGCCTCCAGCTGTACTTATGGACAGGAATCCACCCTGCTGCACACATTCAGCTGGCAGTATGGCCGTGGTGATGGGCATCCGATCTCAGCTGTGTGTTCGGCTGTGCATGTGCCACCTTCCCTGTCCGGCTCACACGAGAACGCGCACACCCTGCCGCTGATTATCTGCCCTTCCACTCGGGAAGCCGGTTAGGGATGACCCTCCATGCTAGGGGGACACCTGAACCCATGTCTCTGATTGGAAAGGGGGGATCTGCTCCCTTCTGGGTCAGAGCACCCAACCCTGATGGGAGGCCTGGGCCTCAGGCAGAGAGATTCCACTCTCTTCACTTGAATGCTTGATGCTTCTGACCCGACATGGAGCCAGGAGACTGTTGCGTGCAAAGTGGGGGTGCCCGCGCCCAAAGCCCTGTTCAAGAGGGGGGAACGCGTTTCCTCTAAGTCCCTCTGCTGCTGCAAGAAACAGAGATGGCCTTCCAGGCTTCTCTGGCAGTAAGCAGAGCAGAAATGCTTCAAAACGAAACAGCGTTGATTTCCCCGCATAAGGTGCAAGGATCCCATCGCCCATTTTTCCATTCTGGGCTGATCCCAGCAACTCCAGCATGTCCCTTGGCCACCCGCACCTCTGCGCCTGAGCCTGGCGGGAGCTCCTGGCCGAGATGCGCTGCTCTGTAATTTCTAGCCAGAAACTGGCCCACTTGTTGTGGGTACGGTGCCATGATTCTTCCATTAAAAGAACAAGATGGGTTTTAGCCGGGAGCTTCTGAAATGCTGACGATGGCTAATGCATTAGCTTTCTGTCCTGTGTTGTGTTTTGTTTTGTTTTGTTTTTGTTCTTCTTACCCTACTGTTCTGGAAGCTCAAACCATGGGTTCCCACCACATTTGGAACAACTCATTTATCTGCGGTGGTTGCGATCCTTGTAAACCCAGCCTGTCTCTCAGGCATCGTCAGCCCCGATGGAACTTGCTACCAAACCCAGCTGAGACGCCTCGCCCTGCCAGCTTTCCTGTGGCGTTCCCCTGCCTCTGTGCTCCCAAGTACCCGTGGCCTGGAACCAGGAGCAGAGAGCAGCCTGGGCAGATCTCAGGGAACAGAGACCAGCTCCCCATCGTGCTTGCCAGCATGCGAGGGTGGGGGGGGGATTGGTTTGCCATATCCTGGCGGCCCTCTTCTCCTGTCTGCCCTGCACACAGGCAGGCGGCCAGCCAGGTGGAGACCGTGGCCACTGGGGACAGTTCCATGCAGGGTGCAGAGGACCCTTTCTTAGTGCAAAGATGCTCCTGGAGGCTGGATTCTGGGGTGGGTGGGGCAGAGGGCTGAAGGGGTACGGCCCAAATCCCAAAAATATCAGCATGTTTCAGCTCCTGCCGCCAGCAACCAAGTCTTGGGAGAGGAATTTCAGCTTTTGAAGAGATGGGGGGGGGGGCTGGGGGAGGCTGCACGGGAGACCCACCAAACGGCTTCTGTTTGGGGGACCTCAAAGGGCCAGACATGGTCCCTGAGCCTGAGGTTCTCCCCCCCCCGGTGTAATGGGTCCCACGGTGCTTCACGCACACCAGACCCTTCTGTGTCTTTGGGTCAGAGTGCATGAGATGCTCTGGCATGGCAGGAGTTTCCAGGGGGCAGAGGGCAGGGGCCCTCGCCTTCCGCCCCTCCGTCAGATGGCTGCCCCTCCTCAGCGTTGCCGCTGCTCTCCAAGGTCGTCTTCAGCTGGATTCGAGCCCGGGACAGCATATATGCAGAACAAATGTGCTGTCACTGAGCTCTTGGTTTTGCCCAGAGAAGTTGTGAAATCTCCTTTCCCCGGAGAGTCTGCAGAAGAGACTCCGTGTGCCGTTCCGACAGGCCTGGTGCACGTTGGAGGGACTGTGCTGCCGAAGCAAATTGTGAAACTCTGTGGCCAGCTTTCCCCAGCACCACGCTCTCCCTCCACGCCTATTGTGTTGTTGCTCCCGTAATCATGGGGCTTATGGGAGTTGCAGTCCAGCAAGCCTGGAGGGTGCCGGTTTGTGGGGAGGGATGTTCAGTGGTCGCGAGAATGCTTAAACGGGCTGAACAGACATTCCTTCCCCCCAGCCCGGGGTTGCTCTGGGAGGGTGGCTGGGAATTTCTAGCTGCTTGAAGCTGCAGTTCCAGTCATTTTTGCGGGGCAACTGCGATGTGTGAATGACCATGTGCAAGTTGTCGTTCTGCCGACTAAGAGCCCTCTTCCAGGTCTCAGGTGGAGGTGTGCCTTGCATATGTGTGAGAATCTGGTGGTAGGGATCGGGTTCCTCCATTCATGGAGTGCTTCTTTGCTGATCACGGATAGTCGGCTGTACACAGGACACTAATGTAAGCCGCCCCGAGGCTTCGGCGAACAGGGCGGCCTAGAAATTTTCTAAATAAATAAATAATAAACAATGTTTTATAAATAAATAAATAAATTGCATCCTAGGTTCCCTTTGCTTTGCAGGTCACCTTTTTTATAAGTTTGGGATCACGGAGTCTGACTGGTACCGGATCAAGCAGAGCATAGACTCGAAATGCCGAACAGCGTGGCGGCGGAAACAGCGAGGCCAGAGCTTGGCAGTGAAGAGCTTCTCCAGGCGAACACCTTCCTCGTCCTCTTACAGCGGCTCAGGTGAAAAACCACCCTCCCCTGCCAAAAAGAAGCAGGTGCCCAGTCCTTCCTAAAAACAACCATCCCACGATGGCTAACGGGCAGGTAGTAAGAGACCTCGTCAAAACACTTTGAACCAGCAAAGCAGCCGCTATGATCACCAGGTGGCTTCTGGCTGCAGGAGGAGCCGGAGCCAGAGCAGGAGGTACTGCTTTGCAAATCAGAGGCTCTGGTATGCTGCGAAGCTTTGTGGCTTTTATCTATGGCTGCCCTTCTCTAGTGTTGCCTCCATAGGCTGGTTTTCTCTTCCTGGAGAGGGGGAAGAATGATAAGCAGTCCTGGGACACCTGGCTCTTGAATGGGCAAGATGCACAGCGAGTGCATTTCAGCATGTTTGGCTTGGGTTTCATCCAGGCTGTATGTGCGAGCTTCTTTGTTTGTCTGTTTCGTTGAAGAATTCCCACTAATATATGAAAGATAAAATTATTATTAATAATAATCTACCCACAGATCTATTGACACATCTAGTCACAGCTTCTGTACCACAACGCTCTTTCTGCAGTTGCTTAAGGGGGCAGCTTTTATCTATGAGCGGCTTTGGCTCATGCGAGAGACTGAGCTGAGCACATTTTTTTCCAGCAAAGGAAAGCTGCTTCCCTGGTTCTTGATTCCACTTTTTAGGACATGCATAATTACACTCAGAGCAACAGAAGCCCTTCCCCTCCACCAATGAATGGCACGGGTCCCCCCAGATCCAGCAAGCAGCCCTCCTTTTCTACACAGGACGAGGCATATATAATCGATGGCGAAATATGGACCGAAGGAATGTCGTTCTGGGAGCCTTCTGGCTCATGGCTTATATTAAAAGCAGGGCTGTGGGACGCTTGCATGTCATATATTAAAAGCAGGGGCTTGGAAGGGAGCCAAAAGGAGAGGAAGTAACTTTATTTGCCCACATGAAGGTTTGGGTTGCATGTTTGCACTAACCACTCTATCGGAGGCAAGGCATGACAGAATCTGCTTTCACTGGAAAATGTTAGAAGCCCGAGTTGATAGCCCCGACCAGAGCAGCAGCTAATTAGCAGTGTGTCTGCACCAGCGCTATCTGCGGTCGAGGTTTTTTGCCGAATGTCCTTTAGAACAGCGGGTTCTTCTCTAGATTGGTCAGGCCGGGGATGGCAAGGGGGCAGCGCCGGACGTGCTGGGTTTGCTCCGGAGGATTTGCATCCGTCACAGGGAGTTCCGGCTCTCTCTCGTTTGCGCTGCTTTTGAAACGAAGGTGCTTGTCATTGGCAGGTGGTCTTGTCGCACGGATGGCGCATCTGTGTCCAGGTGTCCTCGTGCTGCTTAAGAAAATGGGCCCCACTGGGCATTCCTAAACCCTTTGGTGCTCTAAAGTAGGACTGTGGGCCCCAGCGGCTGTTTGTGAGGGCTTAGTGTGCTCCCTCACTGGTGCAGCATCCTGGGAGTTGGAGTCCAAAGCATCTGGAGGCCAACAGGTTGGGGGGAACTGGAGCACGCGGCTCGGTAGAAGGCTGCTCGCTGTGGCAAAACGCTAGCTTTTTGTTCCAGTCCACTGCGGATGGCAAGTTGCCTCCCTGTACGTCGCTGATAATGTTGCAGTTGGCTCTTGCCACGAACTGTGTTTCAGGGGCTATGCTTTTATCTTCCAGCCAACCAACTTGCCTTGTTGATGCACGAACGAGATAAGGGCACAATGGCTGGGTCTGGTAGCAGTGCTCCCTCTCCGGGACCAGCTTTGGTATGGAAAATAGTTGCTTAAACAAGAAATGTTTTGGAAATCTTGCTCAGCCTCGGCAACGAGCTTGCAGGAGAACAAAAGAGCTGGCCACAGTCCAGTCCACTGAGCAATTTTAAATCAAATACATAAATACAAGCAATAAATGAAATAGTTATTCCGGCTCCATTTTCTCTTGATGTGGAAGGATGCTTGGACTGGGCCCCAGTCAACATGTTAGTTATCTGCCGTGGCTCCACTGTGAAAAGGAGGCCCCGCTCTCTCTCTCCTGGGACTCTTCATTCTCTGCAATTTGGAGCAGCCCCATCTTTTGACTGGCAGAAAGCAGGGTGCAGGTTGACTTGTCTGCTTGTTTATTACCCTTTAAAATCACCCGGTGACCCGGGTTGTCTGGGCAGCATACAGTGCAGTATAAAGTACACTAAAGCATAAAACGCAAACAATAAAACGATGCATAAAAACAGCACATAACCAACCAAGATAAAATCAGCTGTTTGGAGCTGCTCCAGCACAGGCAACCAAAGTAAACACAGCAGTGATAAAGGTGCAGTGGTTTCAAAGCTCTAAGAGCCATTCTTAAACTGTTTGGGGGGTCAAAAGGGCTTCACCTTGTGCCAGGTGCCAGGTGTGCCGCTCTGGGAAGAACCCTCCGCATCCAGGATGCCGCTGCTGAGAAGGCCCCTTCTCACATAGCCACCGGCCTCTCCTCCTTTGCACCTGGAGCGCCTGGAGGAGAGCCTCGGATGGGGAATTTAGTGTCCAGGTGTGCACGAGAAGACCTACTTGACCGTGAGCGCTTTTGCATGTGGATAGTGGCGGACTAGACAGCGCAGAGCTTGAACCCCACTCCCGTGGGGCCTTCCATCACGGGATCTGCAGGCCTGAGCCGTGCTTCCTCTCTTCCGTCTCCCCTTTGATTTTGCAGACGAAGGTGGCTGGGACTGTTCTGGTAGATGTTCTTCCCAACTGCTTGAAAAAGGGACGAGGAAGGAAAGGCTGAGACTGGACTCAGGTCTGTGTTCCTCTCCAGCTTTTCAAAGCTGCCCCACTGGTGCATGCAGTTCCCAGGCCACGAGAGCTGTTCTGATAGCCTCTGAGGAACGACTGGTGTTTCGGAATGTCTGCCCTCGTAGTGAGTGTGCGGTTGGTGACCCGTCCTGTGATAGGTAACAGTCATTCCTCGACCTGGTCCCTGCAGTTCTCCTCAGCTCTAGCCAGCCTGGCCATTGGCCAGGAGAGCTAGGAGCCGCAGGGCGTGAGGTTGGGAGGACCCCAGACCAGGGGAGGTGAAGCTAAAGGAAGATGGGGGACGCTACAGACCCTTGGAGGGGCATGTAACTGTGAGCACAACCAAATGCGCGCTTGCATCCGGTGATGATGCAGGAGGCAGGCGGCCAGCTTCCCCCCTAGACTAAAAGGAGGTGACTTTGAAAGGATGTGGGGTTTGCTGTGGGTTTAAGGGTCTGATCAATATCAGAGGTCCTCAGGAAGGCAACTTCTGACCTTTGGATTTTTATGGGGTTCTTGCAGCCATTTCATAAACTTTAGAAGGATTAAGCCGATCTTATTTTAAGAGGCAATGAAGAAATGTAAAAATGGAAAAAGTGATGTGTTAACAGCCAAAGGTTTGTCTGTGGAGCGAGGAATGTTCATATTTTTACAGTTTGAACGTTGAAAACACTTTTAAAACAGTCATGAACTGCTTTTGTCGATGCGTCTTTTTGTCGTGTTTTTTCAAGGAGGTGTACCTTTTGGAGACAGTCCACAGAAACACGCCTGTGTCTGCACCAGGCATTTTTGCCAAGTATTTAAAACGTGCTTGACACGTATCTTTAAAAAAAGAAGAAGAAACAAAGCCTCTTTAACCTGGCGTCCTTACATTGGGGCCCTTGTTCTGAAAAGAGAACGCTTTAAAAGAAATCTGCCTGCTGCAGGGTTCTCCCTCCGCCGTGGCATCTTCAAACTGTGCTACTTCAGAGTCTCAATTCACTAAACTGTTGTTTGATTTTTGGCTGTCTCATTCCTGCTCAGAAAAGAGGATGCTGCAAATTTAAATGTAACAGCAGCATCCCATCTGGGGATGTTTTGGACTCCGGCCCAGTGAAGCCCCTCTTTTCTAGCACAGCACATTGGAATGTGTCGAACCCGGATTCTCAGCTGCAGTCTCCTTCTGCATTATGGCTGTCCAGCTTTCGAAGCTGTTAAAGAAAGGGAGAAGGTAGGGAAAGACAGACAGGCAGGCAGGCCTAGATGGTTTGCAGGATACACCCCCCATTCACGCTTGGTAACCATAGCCCCTGCTTCGCATGTCTAAGGTGCTAGGTCCAATTCTCAGCTGCATCTGCAGGCAGAGGTGGAGAATTTTGAAATTATCAGATTTTTATCTGAAACCCTGGAGCCCTTTGCTGCCTGTCAGTGCAAACAGTCTTGAGCTCGGGGGGCCCAGGGTCCTACTTGGCAGGAAGCAACGTCTGATGCACCGACGGTCCGGGCAGCACGCTCCATCCAGGTGCTGTTCTCCCTTAAATTAAAAAAGGAAGATAAATACTACTTCTCCCTAATCCCAGGGTTTTGTTTTCGTCGGCTCTTTTAATAAGTTGGTGCTACAGCCGGTAATTCTGTGCGAATGATGATTTTGGATTTAGGCACTGCTGAAGCCTTTCCACCTCCTATCTCAGGCCATGGCATCGCATGCAGATGCGGAGGTGGTCCGGGAAGCAGCCGAGCTTCTCCACAGATGTAGCTCTCCCAAAATGACAAACTGGGATGAGTCTTCAACATATGCACACACATGGGCATGGAAATAGGGGGTGGGATCTGTCCATCATGTTTTTTCTCTTATATCAGACACTCTAGGAGGGCTAGAATGAAAATGAAAGGCCTTTGCCCCAGCTCACCATTTTAAAGACGGTCATATTTTCAGGCGGGCCTCCCGCTGTACCTTGCCTTCCAGTTACAAGCGCTGGAGCTGTTCGCGCTTAGCAGTAAAGGCAGGCAAGGGGGGACGGGACAGAGCGGTTCAGAATTCAGCGAGGCACCGAGACAGTAGATAGGGGAACGTTCTCTTTCCTCTCATGTAACCCTTGAACTTTGGGTCAAGCCATGAAGCTGAGTGGTAAGAGATTCCAGGCAGAGAAAAGGAAGGGCATCTTCACGAAGCACATGGCTCATGCGTGGGGGTCTCTGCCTCAAGGTGTGGGATCACCGCCAACTTGGAGGGCTTTCAGAGGGGTTAGGCAGGTCCTGGCAGATGAGGGCGTGACCCTTGCTGGCGATGAGAGAAAATGCCTCTGTGTGCAGAGCCAATACAGTGGGGAGCGGGGCCCGGAGGGTGCCCTGCATGCGAGTCGCTCTGGCGGGCTTGCCTCGTGCTGCCGGCCGGCCAACTGTGAACAAAATGCTGGGCTAGATAAGCCTTGGGTCTGGTCCAGCGTGCCTCTTAATGGGCCCTGAGGGTCTTTGCTCCAACTTCGTAGTGAATCAATTAGCTATTGCAGCCATCGGTTTCTTCCACATGTCAATAATTTAACGAGTTAGCGCTCTCTTGATGCTGTCGTTCCATTCTGTTGCTGGTTCGGTGCCTGTGCGGAGCGGTGGGGTGAGCGGAGCGTTCAGGAATATAAATTTGGATAGAGAGGCTGACCAGCTGTTAGGTCATATAGTGCATTTGAACTGAATATTGGAAGCATGAAATCACAACTGGATGGACCCAACGAGATCAGCGGGTTGAAAAGGTTTGGGATGGGTGGGGTGTGAGGAGATAAAACCTGCTTTCCAAATTGGAAACTACTGTAATTGATCTGGAACCATTTGTAGGTAAATAAAAACGAGCAGATGGAAATGAGTTATGTGAGCATCTAGAAAGTTTCAGTGCGTGCAGCCGGGCAAAAATACGGCTTGACTTGTTTTCCCCATTCTTTCCCTGGAAGTGTTTTACAGTTTCTTTAATGCAGGTACAGTTCATTGACATTCTGATATAACTCACATTTTTCGTGACCATGTTGGGTCCAACTCTGTTCTTAGCTCAGCGTAACCATCCTCCTCCTGTCTGCTTTTCTACAGCCACTTAGTGTCCTGCACAGCCAGAAGCCGAGTTTCACAATAGTGCGGGGTTGTGTTTGTTTTCCAGAGAGTACACAGAGTACGACATCGGCCCCAAACGAGATGCAAGCGGGCCAGCCGCAAGCCCTTCACTATGCACTGGCCAATGCCCAGCAAGTCCAGATCCACCAGATAGGAGAAGACGGCCAAGTCCAAGTCGTAAGTACTCCCTGTTTACCACCTCTCCTCTTCCCCGGAGCAACATCCCGTTTCGTGCAGTCGCAGTGCCGAGATAACCTTAGTGGCAAAGATGCGGTTGCTGACTAGCCCTTTCCGGAGGGTGGGTGGAGAGGGAGTTACCTGTTGGTGCTTCCCGACCGTATGGCTGACGACACGAATCACAGTGGCAATTTTGTGTGGATGTATGGGTGGGGGTGCAAACAAGCTCCGAGCTTCCCATGCAAAGCACAATCATGGCGGGTTAAGTGCTTGCACCCCCACCCAGCACGAGCAATCTGGAAACTCACTTGTGATTCATTCTTCCTCATTTTTTCCAAAGTGTGCTCTGAAGTATTTTTCAACATCTGTTAGCTGAATTCCTTACATGTGTATCCATTTAAATTCATGTATATAAGCAAAGCTTATAAACATTGACATTGAGATATTTTTTCAAAAAGTTTAAATAAAGTTAACACTTTGACCCCAAAACCCACACAGTACAGGAAGTTTAAAAGTTAAGTGTGACACTCCTGTCATTACTCAAGCTCTTGTGTTTCTTTAAAAGCTTGCACTGGTGGCCCGTGGAAATACTTGCATTGGCTTCCGTAGCTTTGTTTCAGATCATTAAATCAGTGGCAGTGTTGCATGGAAATTGAATATGTTCCCCATAGTTAGGCAGGGGGAGCGCATCCCTTCTCCTAGGGGCGTTTCCCGAAGTGCCCCAGGAATTGCAGTCCTCTTCAGCGCTGGTGGGCAGGAGTGACGTCAGCCCTCCTTGGAGAACCAAGGTGTGCACGAATGGTGGGCAACTACACCGTGGTGCGGAGGGCGCTTTGTTCAGTCCCAAAGTCGCGCCCGACCCGTCATGGCCCCATGTGGGGCACTAGGTTCCCTCTTTCTCACTTTCAGACAACAGACGGTTCCTTGGCAAAAGCGTCTTATTTCCAGTATATATCCAGCAAGACACAGCCAGCAAAGGAAGAGTCTCTGAGCATGCACAGAAGAGTTCATTGAATCCAAACTAGAAGCTGTTTCTGAGAACCCTCCTTTGTGTAACCCCTGGGGGTGCCCCTCTGGAGGCGGGCGTTACGCAGATCCTCTAGCCGGCTAGCCCTTCCCTCCCAGAATACCTGGAGGCTGCGGCCTTGAGATAAACTCTTCCACCTCCACCATCTCTGTGCCTGCAGGCCACCTTTCCCAGGTTTCACCGTCCTTATCCAAGGTGCTGCTGTCACTCTGGCCCTGGAAAACGTGCCAGGGACAACGGCCACTCTGACTGCTGCCTCGGTCTAATGTCATCAGTGGTCCAGGGCCTCTCCCGCACCTCCAGATGGTCTTTGGGCTGGGGATGGTTTATCCATCCATATCCCAGCAGTGCAGCCTTTAAAGCTTCTATTTGCTTTGGGAGGAAGGACATACAAAGAAGGGAGCCTGCCTTTTCCTACCACCTCTTAGGGTGCTGTCTCAGAAAACAGCCTACTCAGGTTCTGTGTTTAAGACCAAAACAACAAGCAAACGAAAAACAAAAAACCACCTTCCCCTTTGAACACTTTCCCTGGAAGCCAGCAAGAGTTTAACATTGCAAAGGGAAGCTGATTCTAATCACGGCATGGATGCGGTCTAATTTTGTATACAGTTTCTATTGTTGTTTCAATACGTTCAGCATCCCGCTTTCTCCTATAAATAGACAGTTTCCTTCCAAAGGAAATGAAACTGTTTGAAATAGAAAGATCTGTGTTTCTTTGAAATTCATGTGCAATTGTTGGTGCATTATAATATAAGGAAGGCCTTTGACAGAATTCCACATGGCTATCTTTAATCTTGGTTTCATACTCGGGCGTATGAAAATGAGCACAAAAGGCTTCTAAAAACCAAAGTAGCGGGCCGTTTGCCAGCAGGTGAATCTCTTTACCAAAGCCTGTCAAGATTCGTGTGGACTTTCCTTTTTACTCTCCGTGATTACTGCTTTTTCTTTTAAACATGCGCTCTGCTTGATTTTCTTCCTGAGGTAGTTGTACAGGTCAGTGAAGTATGGTAATGATTTTTTTTATTATTATGAAAACTCTTCAGGCTAGATTCTCTGCTATTGTCGACTGGCACAACTTCAGTGGAGAATGGTTGGAAGGCTGCCATTTCATACCAGTGGAAAGTTTGTCCTTTACTTGGGAGATGCTCCTCGTCTTTGACCAAGTTGGAAATAGAGCAAAGGCCATAGCTGCTTCTTTGCTGGAGCATGTTGTTCGGGGGTGTCATAAGTGATCTTAGAGCAAGCTTTCGTGGGAGACCTTCGCCCTGTGACCACCTGTGTCAAAGTCTTCCCAGGGAACGATAGTCTCCCATTCTTCCCTGATAATATGTAAACAAATATCGGATGAGTAACCAGTGACGTGTGCAGCATAGAACTCAAAATACAAAATGTGACAAACATGTTGCTAAGACGTGAGCGTACTTAAAGCTTGCTGCCAAAGATTAGTCTGTGGAGGTGAAAGCGACATCACGCAGGCCTTCCAGTTCCTAGGCCTGTCTTGCTGTTCCTCCGGAGAAACGCTCTGTTTGCCAGTGTCCCATTACGCTTGGAGTGTTGGTGAACATTCCGTGGGAGCTCTTTCACTTATGGGGTGCCCAGTGGGTTTTAACTGTAACCAAATGTTTTAATTACTCTGGTGGGTGGAGGAATGGGGAGGCAGCTTTATCCAAACAAGACGTGTGTGTGTGAGGGGGTGTGCTCTGGGGAGCAGGAGAGCAAGAATTATCCCTGACTGGAGTCCGCCTCTTGATTTGGATACCATAGCTTATGTGGGCTGGATGGCTGTTCAGATGCATCCTGGGAAGGCTCAGGGTGGAGCGTCTATTCCCCTGGGGAGGGGGAAACCTTGACCCTGCCCTTTCCAAATGGTCTATGCCTTCCCTTCTCCCACACACCCCAGTGGTCACCGTCCAGGACAGTTCCAAATCTTGACAAGGAGCTTAATTCTATGCTTCCTGTTACCACCAGAGTCGGGAAATCCCTGGTTACCAAGGCGAGGAATAAACTTGGCTAGGTTATCTCTGTACCTCCCAGGAGCCAGCATTCCATCTGTACTCTTAAAGTGAAATTATGCCAAAATGCAAGCACAGGTATTGCAGGGCAGGAGCCCTGCACTTCCTGGGCACCGTCTTGGCCCACTGTTGACCCAAACGGCTCCGAGGCGGACGGCACGTTTTGGTGTTCACTGACGCACCGTGTGTTTCTTTCCTCGTCCCACCGTCTCCTGCAGGGTCACCTCCACATAGCGCAGGTTCCGCAAGGAGAGCAGGTCCAGATCACGCAAGACAGCGAGGTAAGCCATGAGCCAGCGGGCCAGCGGGGCGCGTGACTGGAGGGCGCAAGCGCGAGATGAGGCACAGGCAGCCCCTCCCAGCCTGCGCAGAGGGGAGAGGCGGGACCCTCTGAGCACCCCCTGGGCTTTCTTTTCTCCCTCGGTTCCCAGCCTGTTCAAAAAGCTGGCAGGGTCTTCCCACGTTCCCCTTCTGAACACACACAAATCCACACTTGATTATGTTTCTTTCGTAATCTGCGTGGGCTTCCTTTTTCCAGGCCAGCACATGTGCCTGGAAACTGATCTTTACCTGCTTTATCAGCGATTTTTAATTGAAAGTGGGGCAAAAGACATGTCAGAACACGCCCTCCAATTATACCATTTAAAATCGGGTCTGACATCACGGGGAAACAAATGAGAGTTACTACAAATCAGTGCAGTGCAGTGTCAGGGCAACTCCAGAGAGACTTTTCCTCTCGAGACACTGACAAATTACTGGAGGAGTTTGCCTATTCTTGAACGCCCGTATGACTTCAGAGGGAGTAACCCTGGATGTGAAGAAAAGCAGGATCAGGTCCGTCTTTCATTGATGTGGATAGAAAACATCTGGATTGGCGCTTATTCCCATTTATACTCCTTTGGATAGAAGTGGAGTCCTTGCTGACAGCTTGAAGAGTATGGAAAGGGTGACGCCATCTTCCCTCTTCCCACCTTTGCGTTTTGTCCCTTGGGTGTGAATGCCCATGTGGAGTTCCCTCCCCACCTCCTTCCCAGGATTCAGGCAGAGTCAAAGGGCTTAACTGCAGCTGAGAAAGGCTTTTCTTCTATTCCCCCTTTACACTTCTCGACCTCCAGCCTTTTCCAGAATCAGCCCCAGCATTCAGGATCTTGTGACTTCTCTAATGGAGTCCTTGTTTTCCTCGGAGGCCAAGTTTCGATAAAGTAGCCATGCACTGAATAAGCCATGTGTGAACAGGCATAGCGAGGCATCCTGAGAATCTCAGCCTTTATTGCAAACAGCAGAAAGGTTTCTAGCCCTTATGGATCTAAGGTTAATTTTGGAAGCCTGGTAAAACACCAGAAAACAGGAGCAGATGGTGCGGCTGCGGGGTGACGGTGCCCTCCTGCTTGTCTTCTCCTCGCTAGCAAAAACAGAACACATAATGCTGAATTCAGCTAGTGGCTAAAGGCTGGTACCCAACTATGTGTCTGTGTTTGGAAAGAGTGGTTTGGAGCTGTTACAAAATGGTGGGGAGGAATGAGCTCTAGCAGAGTCAAGGTCCACGCTGGGGATGGGAGCAGGGGAGAGGGGAGCCACTAAAATGGCGCCTTACACTTTTGCACATCACGCTGAGAGCTCCATGGCTGAAAAGAGGCAGACCGTTCCAAGCAGTCCCTAAAAAGAAGCACATTTGCCTGACTGGACTGGACCCCGTCGTTCCTGACACAATATGGGCATGTAGCAAAAAGTGTGCTTAGCACTGCCCATGGGGAGAATGGTCGTGTGTTGGCGGAACGTGGGCTTTATGTGGTGTTGCTGTTAGGTGCTACAGAACTTTTAAAATGCAGGGGTGAAGGATGCTGGGAGTTAGACTTACGTATGTCTAAATGTGCACGGGATCGCGTCCTTCCTAAAATAATGGAGATGGAAAACACTGATAAGGTCCCACAAACATCCCTTCGTGGAGTTGCGGCTTCTTTGCATTCAAAAAATATATCTTTAATTTTACAGGGTAACTTGCAGATACATCAAGTTCATGTTGGACAAGACGGGCAGGTAGGCATCCAGCTCTTGACTTGTCTTTTGTGCGGTGTTGCCATCTGCCAGTGGGGAGCACATCTTGTCTACAAACGCGAAGCCCCAGGCAGAACGCTGCCTTTTCCGTTCGGGTCGTTTCCTGTAAACCAATGTGCAAGTTAAGGCAGTATGTCACAAACATGCTGACCTGACATTTTTGTGCAAGCTTATCTTAAAGCTCCCTTGAGTTTTGGCTTTCGTCATCATTATGCTCACGGGAAAGGAGATTCCTCTTTTCTTATCCTTGGTTGTCAGATGTGGCCGACCAGTTTTGCAGAGCTGGGGTTGGGCGGTGCTAAGAGCATGACTGACGCTTGACTTAATCATCGTTGTGAAAAGGGCAGGTTGGGGTGACTGATCGCGAGACACTCTGCACATGCTCTTGTTGCTGTTTTATATGCCGTAGGTCAGGGCCTTGATACTGTACAATGAGCGCCCTGGTCATTCTCCAACCCCATGTCCCTGTGAGTTTTTCCCAAGCAATAGTAGTCTACCACAGCCCTTTGGCAGCAACCAGGGGTTTTGGACTTCAGTTCCCATCAGCTGCAGCCAGCATAGCCAGTAATCAAGGATGCTGAGACTTGTCATCCAAAATATCTGGAGAGTGCTGGGTTATGGAAGACCGGCCCACGGGGCCATTAGGTGCCCATTATTTCTTAGAAAGATTTCTACATTGCCTCACTATGCCACGGGCACTTGAAATGTTGCGCAATTTAAAATAAACATCCGGATGCAAACTGTACGTGACATTTTATGTGCTTTAAATTGTTGCGACCCACCCAGAGAGCTTTGGCTATTAGGTGGTATAAAAATGCAGTCAGTCAATCGATATTGCAAAGTCCCTTGACTCTGGTCGATCAAACTGTGTTGTGGGAAGTGGTCTCCGGGGCACACAATCAGTCTGTTGGCAAGTCTTACCTGGGAATTGTGTTCTGCCTGGTTCCCAAGGCCACCCGGCATCCGCGTCCCTTGCTCTATGGCACCCGTGATGTCCCCCCCCCCCCCGGTGCCTCCCCACCCTTTTGCATTTTTTGTCCTGGTAGTTGCATTGGATTTCGGTCTTGCTTTTCTGGCATGATAATCCATGGAACCAACAGAATCCTGCCAAAAAGAACTCTCTCTACCTCCACATGTCTTCTATTAGCTTGGCGTTTCGTATTTCAGTGCACGTTTAATAGGAATACCAAACTGGAAAAATAATTAAACATTCTATTTTAACTAATGGAGTATATACAAGAGCTCAGAACAATGGAAGGGTTTAGTTCTTGGCAAAAGGTGTAGATTCCCAGAGGTTTCCTCATCTGTCTGCCTTTGCTCTCATCTGACCCTCGGCTTCTCTCCCACTCCTGACCAGCCCTCCCCGGCCCCACGTCTTCCTTCTCGCACTGAACTTCAGGGAGGTCCCCGAAGATGCTGGATGCGTTCATCCTACACAAGGCGTGCAGAGATAAGGCCCCAGTGTTCTGCACGTTAATCAGGGCCTTTCTCTCCTTTCCCCTGCCCTTTCCTTTGTGCATCCCAGCCCCAGTCCAGCTCCTCCAATGCAGAAATATTTAACGTAACACGAGAAAAATATCATTTGGCTAAAAACAGTGGATTTTCCAGCCTGCTTGGATGCTTCGTTCAAATTCCGGCTTTCTGTAAATCATAAAGGGGAAGCTGTTGTCCTGTGGAGAAAATGTCAGGGAGAGAGTGCCAGCTATTGGACAGCATAGGAGGAGGAGGAGGAGGAGGAGGGTGATAATGGTGGTGGTGGTGGTGATGATGGTGCCAACGTTGGTTGTGGCGACGGCTGGTTGCAGAATCTCCGTGTTCTGCTCTCAGAATGTCGACTCCTTGTTTTAGAATTGGAAAATGCAGGCACACGTTTCACAGGTCTCTGTCGCTCTTGAAAGGAGGCCAGAATCAAACAGGCTCCAGCTATCAAGGGGTAAAATTACCACCACCATCACTGCTATCATCATCTGCTTTGGGAACATCCCCTGTGGAAGCATCGCCGGAACAGGTGCGGTTGTGACGGATGCGACCGCGACGGGCCCTTCGGCACCTTTTCCCTGCTTCAGTTGGGCCTCCGCAGGAGCCGCACCCAGCTGAACCAGAGTCCCCGACGGGTCACTTCGTGACCTCTGGCTCTCCCTGCCCCACGACAGGGCTGGGTAGGCCACATCTGCTCTTCCCATCTGCTGCCCGCAGCACGCCGGCTCCTGCTCCGTGCGTAAAGCACAACGCGAATGAGCTCGTGCGTTCGGTGATCTCACAGCCCTCCCTGGAACACCGCACTGTGCTCTCTCCCGGAGGACAATGTGTGCGCCTTAGGGGAAGTCTGAAGGCAAGCAAGGGGCCCTGCGAGGAAGACGGCCGTCTCTGCCAGTCCCTGCACAATGCGATCTGGAGACTGTTTATTTCTAATTACCTTATGGCAAGAGGCAAAGTGGCTTGTTTGCAGAGAGAGCCAGCTTTTCATGGGAAAGTCTCAGAGCAACTCGATTGGAATACTCATTTTTCATGGTATATGTCCCCTTTCTTTCCTCCAAATTTCTCTTTTCACGTACCACCTTTTGTTAGGATAGGCAGGGCCACCTAATTGGGTGGAACCCAGCCGAGATCTCGAGTGACCCAAGGCTTGTTGCAACGGCCGCGAAGCGCAAATGCTGCAGCCCCTCACCACTCGCTCTCTTCCGTGCTGTTTGGCTGAACTGTGAGACTGGCAGTGCTTAATATAAGCAATGAACAGGCTGGGGACGTTCTCCCTGGTTCAGAAAGGAAGAAAACGCAAACAGATTTCATCTGTCTCGTTGAAATAGCTTTCTGCATCAAAATGGTTTTATTCTTCCGTTTATGTATTCGCATACAGCTTCCAGGAGCAAGTATATAGCCCTACAGGGATAAAATAATCCAGTCTGTTTTAGTGCAACACCATTTGCATATTCTCCTGATGTGTCTTCTTGTTGTTACTTGACTTCTCCTGTTCCGGCCCGTATGCTGAAAAACCTAACACGGCTTTTCTGAAATGTGTTGCGCTGCTTTGTGAAACTCAGCCAACAGTTGCAGTTTCCTGAACTTTATGGATGAGCCAAGGGAGAATGTTTGCACAGAAGATGCGTGAAATGAGTGTTCGGGATGAAGCTGCCCAGAACCCCTGACAGGAGTGGGTCTAAAGGACAGAAAATGAAAAAGCACATCCCTCTTCTAGTTTCAGTTGTGGGGCAGTACAGAGATGAAATTATTCATCTTCACCATCATCTTCATCTTCCCTGTACCCAAACAGCAGCTGTCGCACAGTGAGGTTTGAATAGGGCGCAGAAATGCATTCTTTTCAGAAATGGGAGAAAAGTACTAATCCCTTGGCGAGAGCGCCACATTTTTACATGCATAGGTCTGAGCAAATGCTTTTAATTCCTAAGTGCCACCCTGGCATTTTCAGGCCCTGCCTGACATTTTCCCCAGCCCCATTTTTTCTCACAGGGTGTTCTGCAGCTGGGATTTTTTCCCCCTGGACTATGTTTTTTCCTTGTTTGTCTTTTTCAGAATTTGAATACGCTCCAGATGTAACGGAGAACCTTTTCAAAATATTTCTATATTTTAGTGTATATTTTTGTTAATGCTTTTTGTTTGTTTGTTTTGGTTGTGATTAGTGTTTTAGACAAAGGCCTGCAAAGTGTCTGAAAGGATCGAAACAAATAAAGCCAGTATCAAAACCATCCTTCTCAGTCCCCTGTCACTCTAGATACTTTTGGGCTACAGTTCCCATGAGCCCCAGGCCAAATGGCCAATGGTTGGGGCTGATGGGAATTGTAGACCAAGCAAGTGGAGGGATCCACACACATACGCACAGTTACATTTAACCAGGAAACACTAGGAGAATAATCCCAAAGGAGGAAATCCAGGAATAAAACAGGGAAGCAACACAATATTCAAAGCTGAAGATGCAGCCAAACTAAGCGGCATTTTCGGAGCCTCATAATGCGTCGCAGATCTTCAGTGGGGAGGCATTCCAGAGCACCGCTGGCCTCTCCTGAGCGGTCTCCTGCCTTTGGCTCTGCTGAGCCATTGCTGCCAGTCAGTGCTGACAGCACTGGAAGAGATGGGTCAGGGTCTTACTCAGCCTAAAGCAACCAGCACTTGGAATCGTGCTGTGAAAGGTCCAGAGAGCCCTAGACACACACTGAAGAATGGTGCGAAAGCTGATGAGTTCTGGCACACTTCCAGGAGTTGGATAAAAAACAGAGAAAGACTTCATAGTGTCATGAAATTTTCGTATCTGTTCAGTGGAAGATTCATTCTCATCAAGCGCACAAATTTCCATGCAAGAAATATGTGGAAATTCAGTGCAGCTCTGATGTACTGCACAGTTTCGGCTTCAAAAGGTTGTTACTTCCTTGGTCATGTTCTTGGGGTGGTTTAGAAAAAGAAGGGAGAAAACAGGCGCTGTCGATTTTAAAAGATAATGTTACTAAAGACACACATGTAATAGTTTTAATTGGCCTTTTGACTGCACCAGTTTGGTTTCTTGTCAGGACCCAGTTAGGTGGGTACTTCAAATGCAGTCCAAGTCAGCAGTATTTATTTTTTAAATAATCTCTTGACACTCACTCCAGGAGATCACGTTTTATTGCGATGTAGGAATGTTCTAATGTTTCTTACGTTTTGGGCTGTCGTAGCATCCATGCTAAAGCTCTTTATAGTATAAAGAGCCCATACCTCTGGAATCTCTTCTGGGCCGTTTCTTCCCTGCATGAGACCAACAGAGGGCAAAGATGGTGAAATCTTTGTTGGACACTTTCCTAAAACTTTGAAGAAAGGCAGAGGAAATGTGAATTGCAGATACTGGGCATCTTTGTGAGCTAAGTCGTGATATGAAGACGGAGACTTTGGGAAGGTGTTTGTCTCAGCTACATCACTGAAAAAGGGCTGGCTGGCTGGCTTTCTTTCCTTCTTTCCTTCCTTCCTTCCTTCCTTCCTTCCTTCCTTCCTTCCTT